GAAAATTGCCAAGAGGTGTCATTGTCTTGGTTGGTGACGCATTGAACAGCCTTGCTTGATTTTGGGGGGTGCATTGAGTGACTTGGGGGGGAATTGATAGGAGGGGAGCAGATTGTGCCATTTATTAAGTGATTCCCTGCTTTATGATGGTTGGATACTCACTGGCAGCATCACCTAATAGAAATAAAGCAGGCAGTGCTTACAGTAGCATAGTAAAATATAAGAATGTCAATGTGTAGTTTACTGCATGATTAACCGATGAGCCTTGGCTTATTGGTTAATTCTATCTACTACACACACTCCCCCCTTGCTGCTTCTGTATCATAGGCAGCAAGGGAGGAAGTGATGGGAGCTGGCCGGCTCAACCATGAGCACTGGATCTGTGAACCCGCCTCCCCACTCCCATGCTGCTGCCTCCGATAGAAAGGCAGCAGTGAGGAGGTTGAGGGGGGCAGGCGGCTCCATGGGAACCGATATGCTCAGGGAGCTGACTTGAAAACCGGCTTTCCACGTGTAGCAGCTCCTGCCTGCACCCCCCCCCCTACTCCCCATGCTGTTATCTCTTTATCAGAGGCACCAGTGCCCGGGGGTGGGAGGGGAGAGGATGGTGCAAAGCAGGAACTGATATGCCTGGGGAGCCAGCTTTTAAGCCAGCCCTCTGCAAATGCCAGCTCCATGGAGCTGCCTCCCCCACACTGCTGCCTCTCACAGATGTACCAAGGGGGGGGGGGACAGGTCAGAGCCTTAGTAATGCTGCCCTGGAGGAGAATAAAGGGGAAAGGCAAAGCTTGTTGGTGACACAAAATGAGTTAATTAGTCAAAAGTAGGGAGAATGATTAAGACTTACTAGACAGCATGGCATTGAATGGTGCTACATTGGGAGGTATAGTGTATCAGTTTAGACACACAGATGGACTAGCTGTGACGTTTCAGGAAAAATATTCAGGCATTAGTACGGACAGTGAAGTCGTCATTAGGGCGCATTCAGAGGAGAATGGAGAACATTATGTCTTTATA